GAGGAGCTTATTAAAAAAAAGAAAATTACTGTAGGTATTCAAAATCATTGACACCTCACTAGGCATTGTCTGGGTTAACACAGAGGGGGTGGAGAACACTGCAGACTTGAAAACGAGGAAAACAAAGCATAGAATTTACTTGAATTCCTATGGAATAAGCTGCTAAATAAACCACACTTTTTTCTGTGAGCACAAGAGATGTAAATATATAGGAGCAGTCAGTCCACTGCACGTGCTGAGAATCCAAACAAATGTTACAATGCATGAAGGATTTCGTGCATGTAACATCTGCATCACAACCGGGGTGGGGAAGGGCCACGCTGGGTCTGCTGCTGCCAAGGCTGGCAGTGCCCTGTGTGTCCCCGTGACATTGCCGGCCTGCAGGCAAAGCTGGAGAGTGCACAATTTGGGAACAGGGCTGATTATCTGCCAGCAGCTGATAAACTGCAGCTTCCCATGCAGTAACAGCAAGGCCTTCTGTTTTAGGTAGCAAAGCACTACAGAGGAATCACTGATCTGTAGTTATGATTTTATTTAATTCAGACAATTGTTTACTTTGTGTCCACATCTTACTCCATTTCCAAGTCAAATTAGCACATCAGTTCAGGTTAAGATAAGCAATACATCCTGAATACTGATACAGGCCAGAATGTGATTATACTAAACTCAGTTTAGAAATCTTTTTCATTGGCTCTTTGTCAGGAAACTTCACTATACAAAAAAGGAAACAAAGGAATAAATCAAAGACAGTATACTTAAGGAACAATTAAAATGGGTATTTTAATTCACATTTGTAGCCTTCTAAGAGCTTTCAAATTTATATGGCTTTAAATGATAATGATTTTGACAAAAACATTTTTTCCTCTGTGAAAGGTATTAACAGGAAATTGAGAAGCTGAAGGAAAATGAAATTGCATTTTTCACACTTGTGATGAGCCTATTCTAACAGCAGTGGGAGAGGTATTTATCATGCATAGTCTGTCCTCCTCTTTGGATGCTGTCTTCCAATTTGGACTGGAAGCACTGCGTGTTAGAGGATCATTAACCAGGGTCATGTATATCATCTCTCCCTCACAAATGAACACTGTAAACACTGCAACAGCCACAGAGACACTGTATAATCAGGGCCCAAGGTAGACTTTGTGGCTCACATAAGACAAAGTAGACAGACTACACTACACAAATTTTTCCCTAAGACATACCCATCCCAAAGAAAGGGCAAGGCAAGTGTCTCACAGCTGCTGCAAGGCTCCTTGGAGCTGGTCTATCTCATGTGCAAAACACAGAACCTACAAAGACACCTCTGGCCCTGGGGAACCCTGCCACCAAGTCTTAGCACAACCAATACTATTACCTGGCTTCCAGATGGGCAGTGTTCTTATCCCTTGGATTACACAAAGTTTCAAGCACATGGCAGGAGTTTTACCCTGTGAACACATTATGAAAGAAGATGGGAGGTAAATACCACCTCACACAAACCATGATGTAGGGACTGAGTATTGTTTCATGGAACAAAGGTCTGGGCCATAGAGCTGTATCACATACTGCTTTCACATCTGCACACCACAAAAAAGTTTGAAATAGTGTCATAACACTGGCTGCATAGATTTATAAAGCAATCAGATCCCATGGTGAGAGGTATAGAGGTATACGGAAGCATTGCTTTCTTCACAGTTATATTCCTGTCTCTGGGCACTAAATGCAGTATCTCTGACTACTAAATGCACTACTAAAATGACAGGAAACTAATTTTTGAAACTAAATTCGTTCCTAGTTGGTTTCTCCCACATAAACCTGTCCTTTGGCACTCTTGACCCTTGGCATTTTGGAAAACACTTTAGGTTCCTCTTTTTGCCATAAAAGAGGGGAATGCAATGCCTGCAGTAGTGAAGCGAGCAAGATTTTCACCTCCTTCCAGGAGTCTCATGATCTACTTTTAAATCTTTTTCCATTACTATTTAATGGTATTATAATTACTGTTAGTCTCTAGTGTTCAGAATAATCACAAAACAAATACAACCTTGATTATGCTCTCATTATTATTTGTATTACAGTGACAACAAGAGACTTTGAGCTTTACCAGAGGAACAGAGGAATGTGCATCTTCAAGAAACCACATCTAATCTAGAATGAGAATTTGTAGGTTATTACAAACAGAAAAAATGGGGGAAAGGGATAAAACAAAGAGGTTGTTATACCTAGTTTATATGCTCTTATTTGCTTATTTTAGAAGTCTGACTTTTTCTTTCAAAAAGGTTCTGTCCTTCAGAAAACTGGACACATATAGATATAGGATAATATAAGACTTATAAGATAGCCAGCAGTCCTATTCTCTACAGTTGGCTCAAACCTTATTATTTAAGATAAGTTCTTCTCTAAAATCCTTAAATGCAGCCATCTCCCTGCTGCCACTCCAACATTCACAACAGTCTTGATAGCTTATTCTCTTGTGCCAACCCTGCCTCCAGTCACACTTTTTTGTTGCAAACAAGAAGTCACAGATTTATTTATCCTCTAAAACTGTGGGCTGTATTTATCCTCTAAAACTGAACAGGCATGTAGCAGTAGACCAAAGGCTCCTTTGTGAAGAAAGCATATAATTTGGAAGACAGATAGATGGTTGTCTCTTCTGTTCAATGCTGTTCACAGACAGCAAAGCAAAGGAAAATAAGTGTTTGATTTACTCTCTCACATACTACACTATCCAGTGAGGCAGCTAATCAGAAGACCTAATTTAAAGCATTTCCAAGTGATTTCATTTAAACCATGAAGTGTCACTCTCTTCTGGTGTTTGTACTTTTGCAGCAGTGAAAATTCATATAGCAGAGGGGCTAGGTCTGAAATTCAGAGATGAAAGGTGCCAATGACGGGTATGAATTTCTCCAAGTTCAAATTTGTCTTTAATTAGAGTCTTAACGCTCTTTTTTCTGACACAGAAATAGAAGCACGTCTCATATTTTGGCACAATTTTTAATACAGTCCACAGTTCTCTTCCCCTTCAGAGCCAACTCACCGTATCCACCAACCTGAATGAGCATTTCTGGCAGCAGCTCCTCCTGCTGCCAAAGGCTGGAGGTTGGGCTCCCAGGGCTGCCAATTCAGCATAATGGAAAACTGTGGGAGATCTCACAATACTTTGGACAAAGCTCTGCAGATAAGACAAGACCCTGGGAGCTGCAGTTGGCTGACTCTGGTGTCAAAGAGATGTGCCAGCCTCTCACAGCAATTACGAAGTGTTAGTCCTGCCCTGCTGTGAGGGGTAATAGTTCAGTCACCAAAATGAAAAAATACTGGCAAGATGTGGCTGCCTTTGTAGAATCAAATTACTTAAATGAGACAGGAAGGCAGAATAGATGAAATACTTACAAGCGGCTCACCAACCGTTCCATCTGAATTTGTATTTTAACCCAACACCAACCACATCAATTGATGCTCTTTCCATATTATGCATTTATGACCCTCACATGAACCTATAATTTCAGAAGATTAATCTTTCCTTCCAGAAAATTTCAGAGTGCCATTTAAGAGCTCAGGAGTCACACCAAGAGGGCCACAGGTAATATAATTTTCCCACCTAGATTCACAGATTGCAAGTAAAAAATAACTGCGAAAGTTATATTGCAAATTATTAGATTTACAGTCTGTGAAAACCTAACAGTTTTTTCCCCATTCTCACTTGAGTGCTAAACAGCAGAGCAGGTGCCATAAAACATCTAGAGTCTATCACACCCTCTATTCTGTGCATCGTCCTTCCCAGCAGAGCTTAGAAGGACATGCAGCAAATACTTCCAAGAAGCCAAGCAAATTTGCTCCTAGTCCAATAAATTAACCTTTGATTAACAAAATTGTTCCCTTTCTCTCCCTTCCCGCTCCCCATGTTTTATTTTCTTGATTTTTGGATTTGAGTAGTTCCCCTATTATGCAAAACCAGGAATCAAACAAACAAGGTCTGTTTCTTCTGAGAGTTTAATCAAGGTACCTCACACTGGATAACCATAGGGTAAAGCCTAAAACCCAGCCTGAAAATAGCTAAGGCCTGAAAATAAATTAACAGGAATTGCTTATTTAAGTTTATAAGTCCTAGTGCGTAAAACCTGGAGCACTTCACTAAATTCCTCCCCAGGTAAAAAGACCAAAAGACTGATGTGAGCAGAAATTATACACAGCTCAGAAACCAAAGGTTTTCTATAGAAAAGGTTGTTAAACACCATTTTTCATAAAACATGCTCTAGTGGAACTTTTCTTCACAGCCTTGTGACATGAAGAGTGGCACAGAAAATCTTCTGTTTCTTGTGGAGGCCTCCCTTACAGCAAAATCAAGAGGAAAAAAAAGTACATTCAGATTTGCAATGGCAACCTCATTAAACTGGCAGAAAGGCTTGTGGCCAGCTCTGGTATTACACATTCTTTTTGTCTGTAAGTGTGTAACTGTACCAACACCTCTTCTGACAGACTGCCATTACTTATTTTTGCATATTTAGGATTCATATACTTTTCAGACTACTGAAAGTTGTCTTTAATTAGACCTTACACCCTCTCTGCTTTTACATACACTGGTATTTGGCTTCTGAAAGATGGGCCTTGCCTTGCATCCACAATTTAACAACAGATATGGTCAAATTAGTGTTTTCAGATGTTCTCTTTTCACATGTATCTTTTGCCAGAAATATTGCCTGACATGGTATTAAATAAAGAAAAAATTTTATTCTAGCTGATATGTGACATCAATCACAGCAAACAGAAGTCACACGCTTTGAAAACATCATTATAAGCTGACCATCTTTTAAAAATATTTAACAAAAAGCTCCTGGGTCTGCTTTAGCAGCTGAATCTGAACTCAGCAAGAAAGTGACTGAGCAGAATCAGACATTCTCATTAAGTGAAATTAGCCAAGTGCAATTTGGCTGGCTGGTTCCCTCTATGTATTAGCATTTATATTCAGCCAGTGATGAGCTTAATCGAGTTTTTCAAACAAAAAGAAAAAATCTCCCCCAAACCCATAAACTATCAGGTTTATTAGTAACAGTTTGAACTTCTATTGTAAAAAGGCAGTTAAGAAACTGAAGAAAATTGTCTGTTCAGAAGTGTATCCCAGCAGCTAACAGCAATCTTTCCTCATAGCAGGAACATGACCTCACATATGTGCTGCCTGATTGCTATCAGATTTACTGAAGACAAAAGGAGACGTTCCATTAAAGGGCACATGCCAGGAGGCTACACAGAGCTGCTACAGGGCCTCACTGGAAGGGACAGGTTTGCCCTCTGATTGCAGAGATTGTATCACAAGGTCTTTGCTCTCCTTGCACAATGAATGCATCTCAAAGAGCTGTCAGGCCTGAAACACAGAAAAAGAAATGCAGTGGCATCTAAGGAGATAAGAGTCAGCACCAATGCTGATGTGACAAATAAAGAGTAGAAACAACCCCAGGGAGCCTGGTCCTGCTGCATGGCACTTCCCTGAAACAACAGCAGCAGAACTGAACGTGAGAGGCAGCAAAAGGGCACAGGAACCCAGGATCCAAATGTGGCAGGAAGGTGTGTGCTGATATCACTATAAAATGTAACCCCACAGACCTGAACAACAGAAGAGAAGCAAAAAACTTTGTAGATTTTTTAAGACAAGCTATGGAAAGTAGCACTGGTAAAAAAACAAAAATGGTTCCATAGAAATAGCTTGTTTTATAAAATTCAACGTAGCAATGCCCCTGTCAGACAGCTGGGCACCAAGTATGTTCTAAAATGCATTGGGAGCTCTGAAATTTGTTATAAATTATGCCTCAATGCATCCTGGTTTGCAAAGCACTACAGCAACAAAACCTGGCCAAAGGAACAGCATGCTGCAGCCCCTCCCATGTGCACTGCACACCTACTACGTGCTAGAAAAAAGGCAACTTACTGACAATCATGCCAGAATTACAGAATAACTCCAGTTATTCTCTTAAGTTATTCTGCTTTATCTGAGCAGCATGCCATGAGGCTTTGACCCTCTGTTGTTCTATGGTTAACTGCTCTCTTTACAGCACGTTTCTGTACTGACCAACTGCTAAATTGATACTCAATATATTTTCCTTTCCACCTGCCATGCTTCAGATTTGAAAACTCAAAATGTTATTTAAACTACATTTCAAAAACTTACCCTCAGGCTGTAGTAAGATGGTATGGTGGACTACTTCATCACTCCAACTTCCCCAGCTCTTGAAACAATGCAGGACCAAATAAATGCTGCATTTATAAATGAAAGTATATTCTTCTGGCTCAGTAACAATTATTTGAAAAGCTTATAAAGGACCAGGAAGAAATTAATTCCCAGTACCTTAGAGAAGTATCACACTTCTCCTTTCAGGCAAGTATTTAATTTCTTCAGCAGCTGTTTGACTGTTTATTGTCCCTCAGCTATATTAACAGCACCTTGCCCCAAGTGCAGCCCCTTCCTAGAGAATAATAACCAGGACAGGTTTTCCATGAGGGTAAAGCACTGTGTTGCCCAAAGGAGACAGGGGAGCTTATTTTTATAATAGTCAATATGGCAATGAATCATCCTCCCTAGATAAAGACTAAAAACATTAAGAGGAGAATACAGCAGGTTGAAGAAAAAGAAAAAGAAATTAAACTCAACTGGTTCGAGTTTTACACATGCAAATAAACATAGTGAGACAGGAAACAGAGTGAGATGTGAAGTACTGAGCAGGAACATCAGGTGTATCTATCTTCCTGGAAGCTGAAAGAAGGAAGATATTACAACTGTGCTTTCTGCTAAATTGCTGCTGCCAGTTATTGACAAAGTTGTCAATTATCCAGGATTATTTAGACAGATGATACCTGAAGAAATGGGGATTTAGAAACACTTGGGACTAAAAGGAGGGATAGGAATGTGCTGCAGATGATAAATGGACTGGATTGTAAGTAAAAGAGCAAAGAGGTCAGTTTCAGAGGGTATAATTAAATATCCTTAATTAGCATATTAAAGTACTGTAGTGAAGCCATATACTTTCAAAGCTGGATTTTAGAAAATAAATGTAACTGAGTGGATGAAAGACTAAGAACCTTCTGCCATAAGACTGGCATAGAATTTATTCAGATAACTTCTATTTTGCTAATGTTAAACAACTTAATTATATTTTAAAAAATCCACTGACTGCCCAGGTCTGCAAGCAGCAAGACATTAAATCACCATTAGATAGATTTTACTGAAATTGGTCAGACCATGCATTAGGGAAAGAGGACAGTGCTTGAGTCAATAGTAGAATTTCAAGTAGTTGAGTAATCATGCAGCTTAATGCACATGGATAAAGCAGGGACCAAGAAGTAAAAAGAGGGTAGCAACTGGCACCACAATGTTTTTAAATTGGTCTAGGAATAAGAGTTTATTTTGAGACAGGGTTTGAAAAGTGTTTTGAAATTCTTGGACAAAGCTTCTTACAATATCACAAAGCTCTGCTCTCTTAAAAACATACTCTGCTGGAGTAAGGGATATTTGCTACCACAATTTTCTCAACAGAATGAAAGACATTTCACTGTGTTCATGAAGAGACAGTTGACAGGTTAGCATTTCAATGCAAGATTTGAAGGAGGCATGAATCACAGATTTGGCATTGACCTGTTCACACAAGTTTCTTAACTCTACCTCACTATTGATACACAATGGACCAGCAGTTCCTGCCTCCCAGGCATTTCAACAGGATACATATATCCACAGTTAAGATACTAGGGATATAACTGGAAGACTGCATGAAACACATTGATAGAAGAGGTTCTCAGATATTATATATGGCAACACCCCAGTGTTATTTATACTACCCTTCTAAAATACTTTTGGTTACTCTTATTTAAAAAAAATTCTCTGTTCCCAGCACGTAAAGGCTTTATTTGTCACACTACTACTTTTCAAGCTTTCACTCATTAGGAAACACAGATGCAGAATTCCAGCTAAAGGTGTTTAGGAAAGGTGAAGTCTCCAAAGCAAAAGTTAGCAAAGCCTAGGCAGAACGTGTTGACAATATAGAGAGGGAACTGAAAGATTAAATTGGCTACTGTAGATAATCATAATTGAAGACTAAGGTACTTCAGAGACTGCACCTGCCCACCCAGCTCCTCCCTCAGTCTGTGTCTAAAGCCACGGGCAAGTGTAATACATTATTTCAACAGTACATGTAATGTAACACATGGTATTAACTTCCAAAGAAATCTGTATAACGGCTGTTGTAGCATCCAACTCCAAATATAATAAACACAGAATTCCTCAGTCTTTTTATTGCTGCTTTTTAAGTGTAGGAAATTAGAAAAAATCAACAGCAACAAACCAGGAACACTTTGTTTTGGTTTGCTTTGCCTTAATTTTTCTCCAAGACACGGTTCCCCTCTGCTGGACAAGAGCGGGTGTAACAACAAAGAGCTGTGAAGCAAAACTGATGGAACAGCAAAAGGAAATCAGCAGATAGAAAAGATGAGTAAGGAAAGACGACTGAGGCAATGTATGACTGCCCAAATGCCCGAGAAAATAAGGAGCCCAGGTGCAAAACATTAAGCAAACAACATTCAGAATTTAAACTCAGTTCTCCAAACAAGAAAATAACATTTTTCACTACATCTCTAAAATAAGTCACCTTGAAGGAGCTGTCATCTTGACAAACACCAGATCTCTAACTCCAAAAACAACTGTTGCAATACTTAGAACAACGGGAAGCAGAAAGAATTTCCTAAAGCAAAAGATTTTTGTCTGTGAAAAGCTAAATTATGAGCGATGAAGTCTGCACTGCATGCAGCTGGTAAAGGAATTTAGTTGTAACTTGTGCACTGACAGCATTGTTTTCCAGGAGAAACCTTAAGCAAACCTTAAAAATTGTTTGTATTTTTTACTTTAGGCATTATATTTATATGTATTTTTTTAATATTGCCACCACAGGATAAAGACAGGACAATTTCAGACATCAGCAATGATGCAGATGAAAAAGAAAACTACCAGAGACACGTGTGATATCACATACATTGTTAGGAAATACCAGTTAAATCTTACTCTGACCTCTGAAGCATGATAAAGAGAGAAGTTCAGCCTTCTTCTCACTAGCCCTGAGACTGAAGTATAGTTGCACATTTTGTTTCAGGCTTCTTGTTCCACTCTACAGATGACTCCACTCAGTCCTCTAGGGGTTGGAATACTACTTGTTTTTAAACCAAGAAAAGATTCTAAAAAAGCCACATTTAAGAGCAACATAAGTGACTTTCAGGAAACAATTTTTTTTGTTAAAAATACAAACACAAAACAAAGTTTAATAATATTTTCCCTCCTTTTATTAAAAAGTCATTATACTTGACATACAATTGGCAAATATACATATATATATTATTGTATCTCTACTTTTAAGAGAACTAATTACAGACTATTGCAAAGTGACACCAGGTGTGCCATTATTGGGTTCTGCATTGGTTTTTCATACTGCAAACTTCTAGGTTTGTTTCAGTTGTTCAGGTGATTCTGCTTTTAGCTTGCCTGTGTGATCAACAACAGCGCATTGGCTTCAAATACATTTATTTTAGATGCCCATTAAGTGCCCACAGTGCAAAGCTGCACACAGTACCTGCCCTGAGACACCATACAGGACATTCTTCTAAGGTCTTTACCATCCAGACTCATCCTTTTGTACCACTTTTCACATGGAAGCCTGTCACTCCAAGCCTTTCACTTTGTTAACCAAAGTTTGTTTCACTAAGAAACAAGTTTTCTAAACCATTTGTTTAGAGACCAGGAAAGAAGACAAATCTTACCAACAGGAAACTCTCCAGAGCAGAAGAAAGTCTGTAGTGACAGAAGCGGATACTGAGGCTCAATAAAGACAAGTTTTTCTAATGAAACCTACACAAAAACTTCAACTACACAGGAGCTATATGTACAAAGGAGGAAGGGAGGAAAATATATTTTTCTGTAGTCATTACCCACACTCTCAACAGCACTACATTATGTAAGAAAGAGTATCAGTCCATTTACCAAGATGCATTGTCCCATTTCCTGCTCTTGTTTTAGGTCAACTGGAAGCTTCTTTTTTCAGTTTTTCTAAAATCTCATCTGGTGTCATTGATATCGAAATCTTCACCACTTTGTCACGTGATTTACCACCCTGGTTTAGACAAACACACAAAAAAACATCATTCAGAGAACCACCCTTGAAGGTAGGAAAAGGGTGATATTTATAAAATGTTGATAAACAAATGAAGCAGTTTGCCCATGATTCAGGAAAAACAAGACTCAAATCTTTGCATCTCTACCTTCTGGCAACACAGTGCTCAATTCATTGATCACATTGCCATTTACCCACTATCCATTAAAAGACTTCCACGACTGCAACATTAAACTGCTAGATAAAAAATGGTGGTTTTTATTTTTATTGTGCCCTTATGCTCATAAACGATAAATGAAAGTGGCTGGAAAGACTGTCTTTAAGTACAGTGAATTAATAAAAGAAATTATTTATTCAGTGCAATAAATAAAACAAAGTTTCCACTTGCCAAAGTCAAGACATGTAAATTCTAAACAGACAAACTTCTGTGGCCCAGCTGTAACCCAAGTGCTTATATATGCTCTTGCTGACAGTTAAAAGCCAAAAAATTTTAACTCTAATAACTTTCACAGAAGCTATTTCTTAAAAAAGAGTGAAAAGTTGTTAATAAAATTCAGATTCTCTCTGAAGCAGAAATTTTGTGAACTGCATTTAACATGAAAACAAGAGAATCTTTGAAGAACACAGAAACAATTCTTCCTACGCTAGGTTTGTTCTCAATGAATCATGCCATTAAGTCAACTAAAAACCTTTTTAAAGTGTCTTTCAGACTGAACTTGGAGAGCAGCTCCCTGTGCCTAAATGTGTAAGTTTCAAAATCCCGAATTTCAACTGCAGTAGGAAAAACTGAAACGAAGAAAAGGAAGTACCTTCTCTAAAACAACGTCACTCTTCTTCACTTCTAGCACCTTAGAGAGGTAGCGACACAGCTCTGCATTTGCCTCCCCTTCCGACGGGGGTGCAGCAATAGCTACACCTACTGCCTCAGCCGTCACATCTACAACAAATATTTTAAGCATTTTACGTGTGAAATATTCAAAACATCTTTTGTTTCCTAAAAATGAGTGTTTATGCTTTCCAAGGCATTTTAATTCAAAACCAAATAAACGTATAGATTAGCAGGGAATGACATCTTCACACTTCATAAATTCCCTTAAACCGTTGGCCAGAACAATCAAAGATAAACTTCTGACACTAAAAGCAGTCAGTCCTTCAGACGGTAGCACAGCGCAGCCATGAGTATTAAGTTTTCTCTCAATGGGGGCACCGTTCTGAGCTCCTCTCAGTCGCCCATCCTGATGCAGGTGTTGTCCTGCTGGGCATCACGTAACACAACAAAAAGCAGGTTATCCCGCCAAAAAACGCGTGTTAAATCAGTCTGCTCAGAGAGCCGTGCTATCAGTAACTTCCCTGCGTCGCCACCCGAGCCCGGACACCGCTACAGCCCCTGCCAGTCACACACACAGCGTGTGACAGCGGTTCCAATGTGCGCACGGGCAAGTCCCGGGCAGTAAAGGGAGAATGCGCTTTATTAGACCTTTATTAGAGCTTTCATGGTACTAATAAACCCGCACAGACTCTCGGGACACTAAACCACAGATGCCAAACTGAAGCGCCGATCAAGTGCGTTTGCTGTTACTCTTTTAATTAAAAAAAAAAAAAACAAAACACACAAACAAACCAGAATTTACCCCGTGCTCACCGCGCCACCCAGCGCTGCCCGCGGGGTCCGCGAACGAGCTACCCCTGGAGCGCGGAACTTCCCGCTTCAGTTTCCTGGTGGGCTTTTGCGTGTTCCCCCCAAGCCCATCTCATGGGACGGCGGCAAACCCCAGACCCCCGGCGGGGGGCCCAGACCCACCTGTGACGGCGCTGCAGCGGGCGCCGGGCTTGGCGCGCACCGCCACCCTCACGGAGCCGCCGCCCGCCGCCACCACCGGTCCCGCCGCGCCGCCCGCGC